AATCAGCCTATTAGTTCTACCCCAAATGTTATTTCCTCTGAGAAATGGTCACTGATTTACCAAAATTAGATTTGGTCTTTCCTCTATAATCTGACAGAATTCTGACATAATTCTATATAATGTATTATACTTCATGGTATAATATTAAACATTTGAATGTTCGTCTATCCAAAAGTAGCAGAACAGTGATATGGCATAGCAGTAAATGATAGCAGTGAATGGCTGAATATTAAAAACACACTCTGGATTATGTCCCCAACTATTTTCACTCTTCCAATGAGGTATAACTTCTACAGATATTTGCTAACATGTCACCAGTTAGACACAACTGAAAAAAAGCATAAAGATTAAAATTCCAGGAAATAGAATTTAGTAACCATCTTTTTATTTTGCTTCTATATTTCAGTCAATGATTCATATAAAAATATTCCTTTGTCCTTTCAAGTTGAAAGGGAACCTGGTAACCATTACTCAGAGTAATATGAAATAAAAAAGATCTCTGTTTTCATTTCAGAAGTTTGAGTAATGATGTCAGTGCTCAAATGATTAGGTCTAAATATCCAAATAATATGTTTTAACCAGGAGCATCGGTAAGAACATTCAATTCCAAATGGATGGAAAAGACTCTCATAATAACACAGTTATCTCATGATTATTAGAGCCTCACAAAATATTTAATTAACTGTAATAAACGAGTTCTCCCAGTAAATGTTTCTTAAAGTTGAGCCCACATTCTTCTAGTTCATGTCATCTGTTACATAAAAGTCACAGAAAAAGACGATATCATTAAGTTAAGCCACCATTGGTACTTAGTGAATAAGAGAAGGCATCTTTCAATAGACGAATAACAAGATTGTTACTATCATAAGTTTTCTTTCTCATATATAATATCTGTACATTACTTTATATATTGATGGGCTTCATCCAGTTGATTTTTTTTCTTTAATTTTTTTGGCATTAGGTATCAAACTCAGGATCTTGCACTTGCCAGGCAGGCACAGCGCCACTGAGCTATATAACCTTAGCCCAGTAGACTGTTGCTAGCAAAAGAATATTCATTTTAATGAAAGTAGAATTTGTAATTGTTTTCAAATATCATATTATTTGACTTTTTTTCAAACAATGTGCCTTTGTTTACAAGGTTATCATATATATAAGCATAAATTTTTTAAAAAAGAAAGAAATATGAGAAGATAGGTATCAAATTGTCTCCCCAAACCCCTAATTCCTCCAAAGCCAATCTATGGGCATTGAGGAGAAGAAAAGCAAAAGCCACACAGCTGAGTTATTCCAAAGAAAGTAGAGGTATTAAAAAGCAGATCGGGCATGCCAAGTAGCTCAGCAGATTAAAGTGCCAGTGAGCAGGCACAGGGCCACGAGTTTGATCCCTGGGCCTGCCATGCTGGCCCTGCGCCCAGGGCACACTGAGATAGCAACTAAGACTGGGCATAGTGGTGTGTGCCTGTAATCCCAGCTCTTGGGAGGCTGTAAACAGGTGGATCACTACAAGTCCAATCTAGTAGTGAGACCCTGAACACCCTGTAGACCCTTCCCTAAAA